GCCGCCGCGGCGCCGCGGAGCGACGCCTGGATCCGCTCTTTGGCCGCGCGCGCGGACGCGAGCTCCTCGGCGCCGGGCGCGCCGTGCACCCAGTCCGGGTGCTTGGGCCGCTTCTTCGGCCGCGGCACGCCGTGCAGCTCGGCGCCGGGCGGCGCCGCCGCGTGCTGCGCGTGCGCGCCCTGCTGCTGGAGGTGCGCCGCGAGGATGAGGCCGCTCGCGCTCGCGCCGAGGGCGATGATGCAGAGGAAGGCGTTCTGCATGTGCGACGGGCCGCTCTGCTTCGACGGCCGCGTCGCAGTCGACCGTCGCGCGATGCGCCGTGGCGGCGCGCGCCGCGACAGGCTGAAGAGGGAGTCCATCCCCCTGTAAAAAATAAAGCGAGCGCCGCGCCAAGCCCGAGTTGAGCCGGAGATGAGTGCAATGTTTGCTTCACGTGCCGATCGCTGTGAATGGGGCAGCATCTTATGGCCACCAGAACGATGGACAGTTTCGGCATGCACGTCGCGCTCGCGCTGCTGCTCTTCGCAGCCTCCGCGCAGGCGGGCTTCGACTGGGGCGCGGGCTGCGAGGGCGGCTCGGGCCAGCGCGCCGGCGGCGTCCCAAGCTAAGGCCTTCGCTTACTCGAGATCCATGTAGGTTCATCACGTCCATCGCCGCCGGCACGACCGTGGACGTCGGGTCCATCCCCGCGGGCAAGTGGACCGTCGTCGCCAAGGTCACGGCGAGCAGCGACGTCGACGTCCAGCTCTTCGACGCGGACGACACGACGACCTACGCCGAGGGCAAGGCCATCGTCGCGTGGGTCGAGGACCCGGCGACGGCCAACGGCGGCGCGCTCGGCGCCGAGGAGGGCGAGGCCGCGGCGACCTACGAGGGCATGCACATCACCTACAGCGGCTACGGCGGCGTCGGCGGGTCGCCGGGGAAGGAGTTCATCCGCATCGACGGCGAGGCGACGCGGACGCTCAACCTCAAGGCCTTTGCGTTCGAGGCCGGCGACGCGCTCGTCGAGTACAGCTGGGGCCGCACGCAGACGCCCTGCTGCATGGCCACGGCGGCCTGCGGCGGGTCGCTGACGCTGGCCGTCGAGGAGGGCGCGTCCGCGGACGTCGGCGAGATCCCCGTGGGCAAGAAGGACCTCCGGGTCACGCTCGTCGAGAGCGCGGGCGAGGACGTCGACGTCCAGCTCTACGACCTCGGCGACACGTCCAAGTGGCCCGGCGGCGCGGCCATCGTCGCCTACTGCGAGTCGGCGTCCGGCAACTGCGGCCCGCTCGGCAACAACGACGGCTCCGCGGAGACCGCGACGTACGGCGGCCTCGAGTACGCCTACAGCGGCTACATGGGCGTCGACGGCAACGCGGGCAACGAGTTCGTCCAGGTGAGCGGCGTGACGAACACCCAACTCTCCATGAAGGTCTTCGGCTACGCGGCCGGCACGGCCGCCGTGACCTACGAGTACTACGAGGTCGTGCCCGACGACGAGCAGACCGCCGTCGCGGCGCCGTCCGTCGACCTGCGGGTCGCGGCCAACGGCGAGGCCCTGCACACCGCGGCCTTTTCGGACGCGCCCGCGAACACGCTGATCGTCCGGCGATCCGCGACGTTCACCGTGCTGGTCGCGCGGTCGGGCCTGACGACGGCGGGCGTGGCCTTCGCCATGAGCGGCGCCGTCGACGCGGACGGCGACTACGCCGACTACGTCGATGAAGCCTACCCGGCGGCGGCCATGGAGCTGGAGACGGTGCTGCTCGTCGAGGGCATCGTCGAGCTGAAGGTGACGCTGAGCGCCGACGCGCCCGTCGGCGCCTACGGCGCGACGATCGCCGTCGAGGGCGCGTCGCTCGACTTCGACGTCGTCGTTTTAGCCAACCCCTACAGCTCCAAGGCGCCCGAGTACACGTCGTCGGCGAACCGCGCCGAGTACGTCGTCGGCGACGTCGGCCTCGTCTGGCAGGGCATGAGCGACGACAACGACGGCTTCACCTGGGACTACGCGTGGTCCCGGTGGGCGACGCTCGCCGTGTCCCTGGACGCGCTGCGGCGCCTGCCCGTGGCGTCGCGCGGCGACCTCGTGGCCGTGGCGCGGCACCTCACGTACGCGATCGGCGCGGACGTCTGCTACGGCAAGTGGGGCGCCGGGTCCTACACGTCCGGCCGGCCGAGCGGCGGCTACCGCTGCTCCGAGTCGACCCCCTGCTTCGAGCCGGGCCACTGGACGGGCACGGAGGCGCTCCTCGCGCTCCACCAGTCCCTCGGCAACGAGCCCGTGCAGTACTGCCAGTGCTTCGTCTACGCCGCGGTCGCGACGTCCCTGTCGCGCGCGCTCGGCGTCGCGGCGCGGCCCGTGACGAACTTCCAGAGCGCGCACGACGGCGAGAAGAACCGGGCCATCGAGAAGTTCTACGACATCGCGGGCGCCGCGTGGGAGCCCGTCACGGACGGCGCGCCGAGCCACGACAGCATCTGGTCCTTCCACGTCTGGACGGAGATGTACTTTGACCGGGCCGACGTCGACTGCGGCGCGCTGTCCCTGCGGAGCTCGTGCGCGAACGGCTGGCAGGCCGTCGACGCGACGCCGCAGGAGGAGAGCGCCGGCGGCGGCTTCCAGCCCCTCGAGGCGCTCTACCGCATGGGGCCCGCGTCCGTGGCCCTCGTGAAGCGCGGCTACGGCGGCGACTACGACAGCGAGTTCGTCGTCTCGGAGGTCAACGCGGACATCAACCTGTGGACGCGGTCTTCCAAAGAGGAGCCCTGGGCGCTCCACGAGAAGTACACCGTCGACCCCTTCGGCGACGAGTACAGCACGGTCGGTCTCCAGATGTCGACGAAGAAGCGCGGCGCCATCAGCGCGGACTGTTTGGAGGCCTACGCGGACGCGACGAAGAACTGCCTCGCGGACCTCGACGACGTGACCAAGTATTACAAGGAAGATGAGCCGTCGGGCGCCGGCGACTGCAACACGAAGGACGAGGATGGCTGCGTGCCCGCCTTCGCCCGCGACGGCGGCGGCCGGAGGCTCCGCCGCCGCCTCGACGACGCCGCGGACATCGCCTTCCCCCGCGGCCTCGGCGCGTCGCCGCGCGCGAGCGCGCCCCTCGTCAACGAGCCGGGCCACTACGAGAGCGCCTTCACCGTCGCGCTGCCCTTCACGAACCTCGCCGAGACCGACGCGACCGTCGCGTGCTCCTTCGTCGCCGAGGCGGTCGACTACCGCGGCGCGAACATGTCGGGCGTCCTCCTCGCCGACGTCCAGACCGTGGCCGTCGCCGGGGCCGCGAACGGCACCTGCGGCTTCACGGTGCCCCGCGAGGCCTACCGCGCGCACGCGCTCACGTACCTCGACCCCGAGGGCGAGACGGACGTCGCCGAGCACGCGTACGCGGTTCGGATCACCGCGACGGTGACCTCCGGCGCGACGCTCGCGTCCGCGTCCCTCTCGAAGCTCATCTGCACGCCGGCCGTCGCGTCGGCGACGTCGGGCGGCAGCGTCTGCACGGGCAACCGCGGCCGCTACCTCGCGGACCAGACGCTGGAAGACGAGGGCGGCGCGCTGCACCACTTAACGTCCGCCGGCGGCCTCGACTGCGGCGGCGCGTCGGGCGTCAACGACGGCGTCTGCGACGCCGCGAACAATTTCGACGGCTGCTGGGACGGCGGCGACTGCTGCGCGGAGTCGTGCTGGATGCGGAACGGCAACCTCTACGAGCTCTGCTTCGGCGACGACGACGACGGCCGCTGCCAAACGACGTCGGGGGGCAGCGCCTTCCGCTGGCAGCACTCCTGCGACCTCCTGGCGAGCGACGCGTGCCTCGACCCGTCGTTCGTCGACTACGTCGCGCCCGTGGAGTACGGCCACGCGGCGAGCCCCGTGGCCTTCGGCGGCGACGGCGGCGCGGACGACGACGGCTCGTCGGTCTGCGAGCCCCTCGTCGACGCGCTTGTGGCGCTCGGCGAGCCCCACGCGACCCAGCTCTGCGGCAACGCGTCCTTCGCGCGCGTCGCGCTCGACTGCGCCGACGCGTACAAGAACGCGACGGGCGCTTCGACCCTGCCTCGCTGCGCGCCGCGCACGGCGAGCGGCTGCCAGTGCGAGAGCCCCTGGACCAACGTCGACGCCGACGGCCTCGAGACGACGCACGCGGGCTGCGCGAACCCGTTCCTCGGCGAGGGCCAGGGCTACCACGCCAACGACTGGTGCGAGATCGTCGAAAACTCCTGCGACACGGAGGATCTCACGCCCGGCGACGCCGACTACTACTTCATCGACTCCGGCCGGTACTGGTGGGACGACTGCGGCACGGGCGCCGCGGACGCGGAGACGGGCGAGAAGGTCGCCGTCGAGGAGCTGTCGTGGACGGCGCTCGAGGCCGCCGCGACGACGCTCGAGCCCGAGGCCTGGGTCGTCATGGCCGCGACGGCGGCGCCGTCGACCGCCGAGGCGCCCGCGGCCCCGACGCCCGCGCCCGCGGCCTCCGCCGGGACGGCGTCCGCCGGCGACGACGACGACGACGACGAGGGGCCCTTCTACGCGTCCTGGCTCTTCTGGAGCGGCTTCGGCCTCGGCCTCCTCGTCGCGTCGCTCGCCGCGGGCCTCCTCGCCTTCTGCCTCTACCCCCACGACTCCAAGGAGAAGCGCGGCTCGGCGACGACGGTGCAGATGACGGAGAACCCCTTCGGCGCCCGCGCGGCCTGAGCGCCCCGCCGCCCCTTCGCCCGTTGCCGCCCGTGCGCCGCGCACGTCCGCCCGCCCACCTAATACGGCGCCAACGTTGCTCGGGTCCTCTCGGTGATTGACGTCAACGTGAAGCATCTTATGGCATCTAGCTCATTTGGCCACCTACGACGCCCGCAGCGCGCCACAGCCGCAGCGCTGTGCGCTCGTTGCGCTGCCGCCTGCGGCGCCGCCGCAGCGTGCGCGCGCAGCGCCGCGGCCCGCAGCCATGGCGCCGCTCGTCGTGTCCACGGTCTACGTGACGGAGGCCTGCGTGAAGGCGTCGCTGGCGTGCCTCGCCGCGACGCGCGGCGGCCGCCTGCTCTACCACTTCAAGGACGAGGCCTACGAGCGGAGCTCCTACTGCATCGGCGGCGCGCCCGAGGCCGTCGCCGAGAGCGTCGTCGCTCTGACGCGCGACGCGCTCGCGCGCGTCGACTTCCGCGACTTCCGGGGCAGCCACCCGACGCTGGGCGTCATGGACCACGTCGCCGTGAACTCGCTCGACGCGGCGACGATCGGCGTCGCGGCGGACGCCGCGCGGACCATCGCGCGCCGCCTCGGCGACGAGGCGCGACTGCCGACGCTGTTCTACGGCGCCGCGCGGCCCGACGGCCGCACGCTCGCGGCGACGCGGCGGCTGACGCCCTACTTCGAGACGACGGACCCGGCGGCCGTCGTCCGAATCGCCGCGCCCTTCGACGCCGGGCCGGCGACGGTCGACCCCGCCGTCGGCGTCGCGACGATCGGCGCCGTCGCGCACGTGCTCAACTTCAACGTCGTCCTCGCGACGGGCGACGCGGCCGTGGCGAAGCGCATCTCGAGCGCCGTGCGCACGCGCGGCGGCGGGCCCGACGCGCTCCCGCACGTCGAGGCCCTCGCGCTCGCGCACGACGGGCAGTACGAGGTCGCCTGCAACCTCACGGACGTCGAGGTCACGCCGCCGGCGGCCGTCCTCGAGCGCATCTCCCGCGCGGCCGCGGCCGCGGGCGTCGCCGTGGACCGCAGCTACCACATCGGCCTCACGCGCGCGGAGATCGCCGCGAAGCTCGCGGAGTAACCGAAAAATCGTTAGCCGAGCGCCTCGAGCGCGGCCTGGACCGCGCCGCCGACGGAGCCCCAGCGCGCGCGGACCACGGGCAGGAGCTGGGCGGCGACGGCGACGGGCAGCGCCACGGCGGCGACGAAGGCGGCGGCGACGCCGGCGAGCGCGACGTCCGTCGGCGCCGACGGCGCGTCCGGGCTCACGGACGGCGGCTTCGGCCGTCGCGCGGCCGGCGGCCAGGACACGCCCGCGGCCGTCGGCCGCGCCGCGCCGGGCGGCGGGCAGGGGCGGCACGCGAGGCGCTCCGGCGGCGCGCCGACGCGCTGCTTGATGCCGCAGTTGCACGTGCCCGTGATGAGGAAGTAGAGCTTGTGCAAGGGCCGCTCGTGCACGTCCTCCGGGGTTGACATCTTGGCGACCTTCGCGCGCGGCGTGCGGCGGTCCCAGGCGCGCGAGAGAGACGTCGGCACGGCGCGGTCCCCGGCGCGCGAGACAGACAGAGTCGGCGCGGCGTGCGAGCCACCAGATAGCCACCTCGTTTCGCTCTCGAGTGCACCGTGACGGCAATGTTGGCGCCACCTTCGCCTGGATCCGCTTAGAGCTGCCCCGGCTCGCGCGTCGCGTCGATGGCCGCGAGCTCGATGCGGAAGGGCCCCTCGAGGTCGTCGGCGACGGCGATGGAGAGGGAGCCGAAGCGCGCGATGTCGAGGATCCGCGGCTGGTCGAGGTTCCGGCCGCCGCGCGTCGCCGCGAACGACGTGAAGGGCAGCTCGAAGTCGCGCCAGCCGCGCGCGCCGTCGTCGGTCAAAAAGCCCTGGTACGCGAGGTTCGGCGCCAGGGGCACGCTGTTCCGCAGCGACAGCCTGCGCGCGGTCGGCGGTCGGCGGGCGCGGCGCGCGGCGGTCCGGGACGCGGGGCGCGACGCGTAGAGGCGGCCGTCGCTGTTCGCGCGGAGCACGAGGCTCTCGTAGTCCTCGCAGTCCTCGACGTCGCCGTCGACGCGCTTGAGGTTCAGCATCGCGAAGCCGAAGCGGCCCGTCTCGCCGTCGTCGCCGCCGGCGACGCCGACGTCGCTCGGCCGCTTGTCGATGAAGCCCTCGAAGACGGCGCAGACCGGCGACCCGGACGCGCCGGGATTGCCCACGCGGAACGTCGCGCGGCTCCGGCCGCCCCACTCGCGGTCCGTGTGCACCGTCGCCGCGTAGGCGCCGCCAAACGCACCGTCGAAGCGCGCGATGGAACGGACGGCCGGCAGTTCGTCGGGCATACCGTTGAACAGCGACGCCGCCTTGCGCAGCGACGCGCCCACGCGCGCGAGCATGTCTGAGTGTGTGCTGTGTGCTGTGTGGGTCGCTTGTCGCGCAGAACTCGGTTCAATCGGCATCGTGCAGGAAATGTGCAGTTTCAACAAATTTTTAAAGCGACGACGACGCATCTCGAGCAGGCTGCCCGACGCTTTCGGCTGTCGCGCCTTGGAACGACCGCCATTGCATCGGACCACACACGAGCAGCATGCCAGCCTCTGCCCATCTCCAGCCCCACACGGCGGCCGTCTTCGTGGACTGCGTCGGGTCGGGCCTCATGCTGTCGACGAACATCTTCATGGTCGTCGCCCTCCTCAAGCTCGCCCACGCGCGCGCGGGCTGCGACGGCGATGATGACTGCCGGGGCACGATCTTCGGCGGCTTCCGGCCCAGCGCCTGGATCACCATGATCCAGATGCTCGGCCAGCTCGGCGCGGCGCTCGCGATGCCTCTCATGGGCGCGACGACGGACTACACGACGTGGACGCGCGAGGCGGGCTACCGGACGGCCTGGGCCATGTGCGCCATCACGGCGTTGCAGGGCCTGCTCCTCCCGCGGCTCCTGGTCGTGTCCCTGCTCCAGGCCGCGTCGCTCGCGAGACCGCCGCGTCTTCGCGACGATCGCAAAGACGCGCGCGCGCCGCGCTCTTTAGGCGAGCTACATCGCGCACCAGGTGATCTTCCTCTCCTACGTGCCCGGGCTCTCCCGCGGCGACGACGGTCTGGACGTCGCCGATGAGCGGCACCGGGTCAACTCGCAGTTCGTCGCGCGGACGTTCTCCGCGCAGATCGCCGCCATCGTCGTGGTCGTCGTCGTCAAGGCCGGCGCTGGCCTCGGCGTCGTCGACGCGTCGCGCTGCTCCCAATGTATCGCGGGCGCGGGCATGGCCGCCGCCTACCTGCGATGCTGGCACGGCTGCGGCGGCGCCGCGCGGTTCCCGGACGTGCCCGCGCGGAAGCGGACGGCGAGGCCCCTCTGGAGCCAGGGCCTCGCGGACGTGCTGTCGTCCTACGCGCTCCTCCGCCGCGACCACCCCGCCGCGGGCCGCTTCCTCGCGGGCTACGCGGCGCCTCCGCCGCGTCGAGATCGTTCGACGAGCGATCCCGACGTCGAACTTTCGCGGCGCGCAGGTGTCGAACGCGGGCATGATGTCGCTGCCCGTGCTGACCATCGTGTTCATGAACGACCACCTGAAGATGGAGGCCTCCGCGGCCTACGCCGTCTTCGGGACCGCGCTCGTCCTCGCGATCCCGTCGGCGCTCGTCGCGAAGCGCGCGATGGACCGCCACGGCGCGCGGCGGACCTTCTTCGCCACGGTGGCCGCGACGGGGCTCGTGGAGCTCTCGGCGCCGCTCGTCCTCTGCGGGCCGTCCTGCGCCCGGGGCATCTACGTCTACGGCTGCGCGGCGGGCGTGAGCCTCGGCTTCTACTTCTCGTCGAACACGGCCGTCTTCGCCTGCCTCGTGCCGCCGGGCTCCGACGCCCAGTTCATGAGCCTCTACTACTTCGCGGGCACGGTGATCACCTGGGCGCCGCCGGCGGTCTACGCGCTCGCCCACCAGCTCTCGCGCGACACGGCCGCGGCCCTCGTCGTCGTCGGCGGCTTCCTCCTCGCGTCGCTGCCGGCCTTCGCCAACATGGGCGACGGGGCCGCGCGCGCGCCGGAGGACAAGCTCGCCGCCGCGGAGCTCACCTCCCCCGTCGTCGAGGACCTCGACCCGGCCGAGTGCGCGCTCCAGATCGCGGCGTAATGTTGAAGTCTGCGCGCGCGCCTCAAGAAATACGAATTCTTTTGTTGGGCTGCCCGCAGCCAAGAACGACCACCAAAGGCGACTTCCGCGAGCAGAGCATGGCGCGCAAGAAGAACAGGGGCAAGAAGGCGAGTTCCGCGGCGCCGGCGAAGAAGGCTGCGGCGCCGGAGGTCGAGGAGAAGGCGCCGCCGGCGCCCGAGAACGAGGTCCCGCGAGGTGGTGATGAGGCCTTCACCGAGGCTTTGGACGAGCACGCCTGCGAACTGGCCATCCAAACCCACAACACCAAGAAGGCCGCGGCGGCGCCGCCGCAGACGGCGGACGCGGAGCGGAACCGCGAGGTGGCCGCGGCGAACGCGAAGGTTGTCGCCGCGGAGCGCGCGGCCGCGGCCGAGCGGGAGCGCCGGGACGCGGCGGCGGCGGCGCTCGCCGAGGCGGAGGCGGCGCGCGCGGCCGAGCGGGAGCGCCAGGACGCGGCGGCGGCGGCGCTCGCCGTGGCGGAGGCGGAGCGCCAGCGCCTCGAGGACGCCGCGGCGAAGGCGCGCGAGTCGCGGGAGCTCGTCGCGCGGCTCGAGGCCGAGGCCCGCCTCGCGGCCGCGGGCCACGAGGAGAGCAAGGGCGCGGAGGCCGAGGCCGCGGCCGAGGCCGTGGCGGGCCTCGAGCGGCGCGCGGCCGCGCGGGCCGCGCGCGGCGCGCCGCCGCCGCCGCCGCCCGACGCGCCCATCGAGCGGCCCTGCGCCTTCCCCGAGGCGCTGATCCGGGCCGGGCCGAACCTGTCGTCGCCCGCCGTCGGGTCCGCGGCGAAGGGCGACGCGCTCGTCGTCGACGCGCCGAACGCCCCGGGCTCCTGGGCCGTCTGCGCCGAGACGGGCGCGCTCGTCGTCCGCGTGTCGAAGCCCGCCGCGGGCTACGTCGTCGCGGCGGCGCTGCCCTACGTCGACGCCGCGGCGGCCGCGGCCGCGGCCGCGGAACTCGAAGACGCGGACCTCGACTTCCACGAGAAGCGCGACCGCCGCGAGGCGCGCGAACACGCGGCGTCCGCGGCGAAGCAGAAGGCGGCGACGATCCTGTCGCGCCTGCGGACGCGGGCCTGGAACCTGGAGAAGAAGCGGCCGTCGGGCCTCGGGCCCCGCAACGCGCCCGAGTTCGACTTCGACGAGTGGAGCAAGTTCATGCCCAAGGGCGACGTGGCCTTCGTGCGCGCGCCGGTTTCGCCGCCGCGGTGCCTCGCGTCCAAGGACCCCGACGCCATCACGGTCTCCGTCGTCGTCGCGTCGACGGCCGCGCAGCGCCGCGCGCACGACCTCCTCTACGACTGCTTCAACGCCCAGACCTACGACCGCCTCGAGCTCGTCGTCTTCGACGAGGGCGGCGCGCCGTCGCCGACCTTCGCCGCGCTCGACGACCCCCGCGTGACCTACGTCCACGCCGCGGCCGCGGGCCTCGACGCGGGCGGAAAGCGCACGGCGCTCCAGCGCCTCGCGCGCGGCGACGTCCTCGCCGTCTTCGAGCCGGGCTGCCTCTACGCGCCGACCTACGTCGCCGCGGCCCTCCCCCACCTCCTGTCCAGCGGCCTCGCGGCGGTCCAGCTCCGCCGCGCGTTCGCGATCGACGGCGACGGCGCGATCACCGCCGCGCGGTGCTCGCCGTCGTCGCCCGCCGGGTTGCTCTACTGGAAGCCCGCGCACGAGAGCGCGGCGGACGCCTGGGTCGACGGGCACGCCGACGGCTTCCTCGAGACCAAGGTCGTCCACGGCGTCAACGACGACTTCGGCGTCTTCGCGCGCGGGCCCCGGACCGCGGCGCCCGCGGACGACGGCGCGCCCCGGGGCGCCGAGCTCGCCGTCGACGACGTCCCCAACGCCGCCATGCGGGCCCTCGTCCGCAAGTACCGCTCGGGCGTCCTCGGGAAGGGCATGTACCAGCAGTGACGAGCGACCGAGGCGTAGGGGGGCATGTTAGAGAAGGAGAAGTGCCTCGCATCGAAGAAGTAGCCCCCACGACGCGTCGCGTAACAAGGTGTTAGACGTCGTAGCCGTGGGACCGCGCGAGCGCCGTCGCGCGCGCCCAGACGAAGGGGCTGACGGCCTCGATGTCGGCCCAGGTGACGTTCGCCAGGTCCGGCGCGAGGTCGTGGTGGTTCGCGTCCGTCTTCGGCGGCCGGCCCCGGCCGCGCGCGGCCTGGCGCGGCGCGCCGAGCCTCGCGCGCGCGGCGACGTCCGCGACCGAAAAGTCCTCGACGCGGATCTGCGCGTCGGCGTAGGCCGCGACCCAGTCGTTCCAGAAGACGTAGTGGAAGAGCGCGACGCGCAGCCGCTTCGCCGCGGGCCAGCCGTCCTTGTTGTCGCGGTCCGCGCGCCACGCCGCCAATTCCGCCTCCGGCGGGAACGACGGCGCGTAGCGCAGCGCGTCGCGGAAGAGGTGCGGGTTCGAGTAGGCGAGGGGCGCGTACATCATGCCCACGCGGTTCGCGCGCGAGAGCACGGTCTTGAGCGGGTGCCGCGTCTGGTGGAGCACGAGGCCGAAGCGCGCCGTCGCGTCGGGGCCGCGGAACGCGGCGCCCACGGGGCCCCGGCTGAAGTTCGGCAGCTCGTAGCCCGACGTGTTGAACGTCGGCTTGTCGAGGTGGCCCGTCTCGCGGATGGCGAGGGCCCAGGACGCCGCGCCGTCGCGGCCGACGGCCTCGTTGTCGTGGCTGAAGTCGTAGCCCGCCGCGCGGAGCGCGTCGCGCGCGAACTGCGTGCCCACGCGGCCCGTGCCCGTGACGAGCACGGCGTGCGCCGGCGGGCCCCGGTCGCCGCAGCGCGGCGCGTGCTTGTAGGTCCGCCGGAGCAGCGCGCACGGCGGCGGCGGTCGCGGGGCCGGCGCGCGCGGCGGCTCCGGCGGCGGCGGCGGCGGCGGCGGCGGGGCGGCCGGCGGCGGCCGCGGCGGCGCGGGCACGGAAACCGACGCCGGCGGCGGCGCGGCGAGCGGCGCCGCGGCCCGGAGCCGCGCGACGCCGAGCACCGCGGCGACGAGCACGCACGCCGCGAAGCGCTCCGACCGCCGCATCAGTTGTAGTAGAGCTCGAGGCCCATGCCGTCGTGGATCTCGTAGTCCTCGAGCGTGATGTGGTCCTTGAAGATCGTGTACCACTTCTGGATGCGGATCTTCTCCGGGCGCGTGCCGCTCTGCGCCGCGACGAGCTTCTTCAGGTCGCCGATCGTGTCGTCCTCGTTACACTTGACGCGGATTTTCTTGCCGAGGCGGTCGTTGCAGATGACCTCGATCATCGTGCGCGCATGTAGTCGGGGCGGGCTTTACACGGGGTGCGTGCACGCGGGCGGTGCGCGCAGGCGGTCGTCGCGTCGATGGCGATTGCGATTGTTGAACTCGGCACCTTGCTAAGCCGGGCTTTGCTCCGGCGACGGCGTCCGATGGCCGACGCACCCCCCGTCTAAACTACCGGGGATTGGTGTGCGGCCAGGGACGCCCGGTGGCTATACGTGACAAAAACAAGCGCTCGGATTGGGACGAATGGCTAGCCGTTTCGCTGGCTTGAGTACCAAACACGTACGCGCGGGCCGGGGACGGAGACCTCCGAGGCCGCGCTTCCGACGCACGGCAGCCCGTTCTGGTGGTCGGAGTGGCCTTCCATGACCCCTAGGCGTAAGCCTGACCGTCGGTGCCCTCATCGGAGGTGGTTCTGGCGTCGACCAAATTCCACCGCGCGGGCCTCGTCCCCGCGGGGCTGCCGCGGCGTACAAGTCCGTGGTGGCGGTGCGCGCCACCATCGATGGCGTTGGATACGCCCCTTGGTTTTGGGCGCGACGTGGGTGTGACGGCTGGGGAACGCCATTTCCCTGTAGTAAGATGTACCACCCTGCCGCGCACGCCGGGGCGCGGCCGGCGCCACTGGCGGAGCAAAGCCCGGCTTCCTTGCTGCTACAATTGGCATCGCAATAAACAGCAGCCCAGGCGCATGGAGGCGGCGAAGGACGACCAGATCTTTCTCGAAGAGTTGAAGCGATGGTACGCCCGCGGGGACCGCGACGTCAGTGCTGTCGGCCCCGTGGACCTCGATAGAGTACTGACAGGTACCCCGCTTGGTCTCGCTGCGAGACGGGGCTGGTGTTCCGCCATCGACTGGCTTGTGAAAAAGGGCGCGGACGTAAACAAGGGTGATCCCATACACATGACTACGCCACTACACTTAGCTGTCGCTAGGAATCGATTCGCTGCAGCTCGACGCCTGCTCGACGCGGGCGCGGACGTCAACCCACCCCACCAATTACAGAAGACTCCTCTCAACTTCGCCGCTGATCTCGGAGACTTCCGAATGTGCAGGCTGCTCCTTAGCCGCGGCGCCGACAGCGGGATCTGTGATAGGTCTGGACGTCAACCGGAGGAAACGGCGCGTCGTCGCGTTCGAGCTGCTCGCGACGGAGAATTCAAGCGGAGCCATTGGAAAAATGAGACGCAAATCGCAGAACAAGTGCACGTCCTCCTCGTCGCCGTGCGCGAGGCGGGTGGCTGGCAGGCGTACCTCGACGCGCCGCGCCGGGAGCTCCTCGCCTTCCGCCGGCAGCTCCCCGGGCTCCGCCAACGCGCGAACACACCCACAGTCCTCGAGCGGCTCTTCCTCGCCTTCCGCCGGCAGCTCCCCGGGCCCCGCCGACGCGCGAACGCGCCCACGGTCCTCGAGCGGCTCTTCCTCGAGGTCCCCGAGGACGTCTTCACGCACACGCTGCGGTTCTGGCGCACGGACCGGGACGCGTAAGCTTAGCACGTATCGCACGCGACGCGACAGGCTGCCTTGGCCTGCGCTCGTTCTTCTTCTTGTACCGCCCCTCTGCTTTCTCTGCGACCCACGCGCGCTCTTTTACCCCTACAGGCAGCCCTCGGCGAGCTTAACCGCGAGCCGTCTTCGGAGGCAACTTGAACCCAAGGTGAAGTAGCAGTGCCTATCGAACGGCCTGCCATTCTTTCGCGCAATGGCGCTGCTGGTTGCTGTTGCGCTGTGCGCGTCTCTCGCGCGCTCGTTCACGCTTCCGAGGCCGCCGACGACGCGCGCGACGTCCCGACTTCGATCCTCAAACGATGTCCTGGTCCTAAACACCGACCGCGACGTGCTCCTCTTCGACACGACGCTGCGCGACGGCACGCAGGGCGAATCCATCTCGTGCTCGGTGGAGGACAAGCTGAAGATCGCCGCGCGGCTCGCGGAGTTCGGCATGGATTTCATCGAGTGCGGCTGGCCCGGCTCGAACCCGAAGGACGCCGAGTTCTTCCGGCGCGCGGCGACGGAGCTCGACGCGAACGCGCGGGACCGGCTCGTCGCCTTCGGGTCGACGCGGTCGAAGCGGTCCGCGACGGCCGCCGAGGACGCGCAGCTGCGGGCGCTCGTCGCGTCCGGCGTCGGCACGGCGTGCATCGTCTGCAAGGCGTCGTCCTGGCAGACGACGGAGATCCTGGGAGCGACGCGGGCGTCGAACCTCGACATGATCTCGAGCTCCGTCGCGTTCCTCGTGGACGAGGGCCTGCGGGTCCACGTGGACCTCGAGCACTTCTACGACGGCTTCCTCGGGGGCCGCGCGGCGCCCGCGGATCCCGCGTACTCGCTCGCGTGCGCCGAGGCCGCGGCGGCCGCGGGCGCGGAGTGCGTCGTGCTCTGCGACACGAACGGCGGCACCCTGCCCTGGGACGTCGAGGCCGCGACGGCGGCGGCCGTCGCGGCCGCGCCCGGCTGCCGCGTCGGCGTCCACGTCCACGACGACGGCGGCCTCGCCGTCGCGAACTCGCTCGCGGCCGTCCGCGCGGGCGCGTCGGTCGTCCAGGGCACGGTCAACGGCGTCGGCGAGCGCACGGGCAACGCGAATCTCGTGACCATCGCCGCGACGCTCGCGCTCAAGGGCGAGGCGCTTTTGGGCTCCGCTCCTTCCCTCGCGTTCGCGAAGAACCTGCCCGCTTTGGCGGACACGAGCCGCTTCGTCGACGAGGCGCTGAACCTCGCGCCGAACCCCGCGCGGCCCTACGTCGGCGCGAGCGCCTTCGCGCACAAGGGCGGCCTCCACGTCTCCGCGGTCGCCAAGGACGCCGCGGCCTACGAGCACGTCGACCCGGCGGCCGTCGGCAACGCGCAGCGCGTGCTCGTGTCCGAGCTCAGCGGCCGCGCGAACATCTGGTCGTCGCTGCAGAAGGCGGGGCTCGTCGACGACGGCTCCGAGGCGCTCGGCGAGGAGGTGTGGAAGGAGCGCGCGGCGGCGATCCTGCGCCGCGTCAAGGCGCTCGAGAATCTGGGCTACTCCTTCGAGGGCGCGGAAGCTTCCGTGCACCTCATGCTCCTCCACGCGAGCCCGGGCTACTGCGTGCCCTTCTCCGTGCTCGACTACTCGGTGACGACGTCGGACGTCGACCTCGACAGCGCCGCGCGGAACGCGGGCCAACCGCTCCGGGACGGCGGCGCGACGGCGCGCGCGACCGTCAAGGTCCGCGTCGCCGGCGACGACGCCGCGCTCGACGTCGCCGAGGGCACGGGGCCCGTCGACGCGCTCGAGAAGGCGCTCAAGCGCGCGCTCGCGCCGACGTACCCGACCGTGGGGGAGGTCGAGCTCGTCGACTACAAGGTCCGCATCCTCGACCCCCAGTCGAAGACGTCCGCCGCGACGCGCGTCGAGATTTCGTTCCGCGACGGCCGCTCCGGCGCGACCTGGACGACCGTCGCCGTGGACCGCAACATCATCTCCGCGTCCGCGAACGCGCTCGTCGACGGCTTCGAGTTCGCCGTCATCGAGCACGCGGAGCTCTGCAACCTCTGCGAGCTCGACTACGACGACGACGGGCCGCTGACGCTCGAAGCCCCGGCGCGCGTCGCGAGCCGGTAAAAGCATCGGAAAGGAGCCCGCTTACGACGATCGGCCGTCGCGGCGGAGCTTGTAGCCCCGGGACATCTCGCGCGTGACGACGGCGGCGAACTGGGCGAAGGTCACGCGGACGGCGGTCTCGCCCGCGAACATGGCGACGAGCGCGTCGGCCTCCTCGGGCGCGAGGTAGACGGAGAACGCGCGGCGGAAGACGATGCCGAAGTCGTCCGCGGTCACGTGGCCCGTGTTGCGGTTGTCGAACTTCTTGAAGGCGCGGCGCAGGTCGATCCACTGCGTCGCGCAGCCCTCGACGATGAGGTCGAGGAACTCGAGCGTCGTCGGCCGCGCGGGCACGGCCTCGGACGGCGTCCGCCGCGGCAGCGACGTGAGCTGGCTGTAGTCGCCGCCGGCGTAGTAGTCCAGGAGCTTCTCGTGGGCGTGCGCGTCGACGGCCTCGACGGCCTCGATGCCCTCCGTCGCGTAGTCGCCGCAGCACAGGCTCGTCTGGCTGCCCGAGATGCCGAGGCTCGTCCTGCTCCCGCTCTGTCTTAGCAGGGACCCGTTGAAGACGCGCTTCGCGTGGTCCTCCTTCCTCCGCCGATCGTCGGCGCGGCCCGTCATGAAGCCGCCCTCGACGTCGTTGAGGCCCAGCGCGCGCCGCTCCCGGCCCCAGGGGACGATCATGCTCTGCGTGTAAATCGGCGTTATTTTCATATTGAAGCTCGGATGAAGTTTATTCGCCGCGCGCGCGAACGCCGTGCGGAGGAGTGCTACCGTTACCGTATTACGCGCCGAAGATGGTCTCCGCGAGGTTCTCGGCGGACCGGTGGTGGGCGCCGCGGCGCAGCATGAGGCTGTCGAAGCTCGGGCTGCGCGTCCCCCCGCTCCGCCACGCGGGCGCGTCCGCGCGGCGCGGCCACCGGAGGCCGCGGTCGAGGCCCGCCGTCGGCGACGCCCAGAGCGCCGACGCCGCGCGGTGCTTGAGCCCGTGCTTCCGCCGCCGGCTCAGCTTGAACCACTCGACCGTGTACACCAGGCTCGCGAGGGCCGTGATGGCCATGCCCAGCGCGTCCCACGCGTCCTGCGGCGGCTCGCCGGCGATCGCCGACGCGACGACGGCGTGGTACGCGGCCAGCGCCGTCGATTTGAAGGCGCCGGCGATGAGCGTCGTCAGCGCGCTGTTGTGGAGCACGCAGAGGTAGACGGCGACCTCGTGCACGGGGCCCGCGACGGCCACGAGCAGGCCGAAGCGCGACACGAACGCGGCGTCGGACCACGCGTCGAGCCGCCGCGCGCGCGCGAGCGCGCCGTAGTCGAGGACGACGCCGAGGAGCGCGACGGCCGGCAGGCAGAGCGCCGTCGTCCGCGCCAGCAGCGCGCCCGCGAAGCCGTGGGGCCCCGCGGCGGCGAGGCCCGCGGCCGGGTTCCGAGAAGGCGCGGGCCGCCCGTCGCCCGATCGCAGCGTCGCCTCGCCCTTGGCGTCGAAGAGCAGGCCGACGGCGTCCTCCTCCGGCCCCGCGTCGCTCTCGTCGGCGTCGTCCCGCGCGTCGTCGAGCACGCGCTTGAGGTAGACGACGCGGCCGGCGACGACGACGGCGGACGCGACGGCCGCGACGCAGCCCTGGGCGGAAAACGCGTCGAAGAACGCCGCGCCGGAGCTCGGCCGCTCGAGCTTCGTCGCCCGCTTGCCCGAGACGCGGTGGCGGAGCAGCGACGTGCCGTTGCGGGGCACGCGCCGGTCGAGGGTCGCGGCGCCGTCGCCCCGGAGCGCCTGCGCGACGGCCGCGGCGCCGCCGAGCGCCTCGGACGGCACCGCGGCGACGGCCGCCGTCGCCTCCGCGGCCTTGCCCCGCCCGAAGAAGAGGCCCAGCATGGGGCCGGAGACCATGGCCCAGGCCGCGGCCGCGACGGGGCCGTTGAAGTCCGCCTGGCCGCACCAGAGCTCGAGGTGGAGCGCGAGCGGGATGCTCAGGCGCCGGAACGCCGCGAACGCGTCGAGGCCCAGCGCGCGGCTCGCGACGTGGCCCAGGGCGACGTCGCCGAGGAAGAGGAGGGCCAGGGGCGGCGCCGCGGACCGCGCCGCCGCGGACCGGTCCGCGCCCCTCGTCTGCTTGTAAGCGCCCGTCGCGCGCCACCCCGCGTAGGCCGCGGCCGCGAGCGCGAGGGTCGCCGACAGCTGCAGGAAGAGCAGCAGCGACGTCGACGGGAAGCGGTAGAGGTCCAGGATCTCCTTGTTCAGGAACACGACGCTCAGCGACGCCAGACCGTAGAAGACGGCGCTCAACCCGGGGAGCAGCGCCTGGCTCGACAGCGCGTCGCTCGCCGCGGCCGCGAGCGCCGCGCGCATCGGTGCGTTTCTTGCGCCGCGGAGCGCTACGGCGCGCCGAGCGCCTCGGCGCGACCGACCGTCGGACGCCGGGAGCGGGTGGGAATGCGCAACTCGAGCGGCGTCTGCGTCTGCCGCCCGGCCGCGCAGAGTGATGCAAGGACTTCGATGACCACTGCAGTGCACTGCTCCGAGCCGGAGTTTGCCTCTTCTCGAAACCGCCGAGTTTAGCAGAGCGCAATGTTGTAACACGCAGCAGCCCAACGATCGACCATGGCCCTCGCCGGCTACGAGGACCCGTGGGTGCACATGCAGGGCCTGAGCCGGAGCAGCATGAAGGACATGAACGCCGACGGCCACGACGACGGCGACCCGGACCACCGGGAGAACGAGCGCGTGCGGCGCGACAGCGGGAGCTCGCACGGGTCCTTCGAGCCGCGGCGCGGGCGCACGCTGATGACGACGGACTACCCGCCGCACGGGCGGTCCAAGCCGACGTTCTGCGCCCACGCGGGCCACCGCGACAGCGCGCTCGCGTCCATCTCGCGCGACGAGTTCGAGCACGCGCTCGGCGACGGCCCCAAGCCGCCGGCCGCGGCGCCCGTCGACGCGGCGACGGGCCGCGCGTCGCTGACCCAGTTCCAGGAGCTGGGCCTCACGCGGCCGCCGGCCGCGGACGGCGCGGAGGAGGACGAGGAGAGCGACGCCGACGAGGAGGACTACGACGCGTTCGACGCCGACGGCGCGCTCGCGGACGACGACGAGTTCGACGACGAGTTCGACGACGACGACGAGTTCGACGACCTGGACGACGTGGAGGAGGGGGACGAGGAGGACGCGACCGACGACGAGGCGAGCGACGAGGACGACATCGAGGAGGACGTCAAGGACGCCGCGAGCCGCGCGGGCGTCGGAGCGCGCGCGTACGAGGCCGCGGCGCGCTTCGGCTTCGCGCCGCGGCCCTGGGAGGCCGGCGACGCGCCGCCGCGGACCGTGAAGAAGAAGCGGAGCAAGAAGAAGAGCAACTCGGCGACGGTCCGCGGCCCCTCCGCGACGAGCCGCAAGCTCCACACGTCGCGGAAGAAGGCCAAAGTCGGCAAAGTGTCGACCAAGGGCGAGGTCTCCATGCGGCTCCAGGGCCTAACCCACAAGAAGCCCATCCAGAAGCGGTTCAGCTCCCTCGAGAAGCGCCACATCGACAGCCGCCAGCACCACGCGAGGGCCTTCGTGGACCGGCGGACGCTCGGCCAGAAAATCGTCGACGCGGAGCGCGCGAAGCGGGACCGCATCAAGAAGGAGCGGGCCAAGGAGGAGCGCATCTCGGCGGAGAAGGCCGAGGCGGAGAAGGCCGTCGTCGACGCGGACCCGAACCGGCCCTTCGACCCGACGAAGCCCGAGGGCCGGAGCGGCACGCCGGGCCTCCGGGACCTCTACGTCGCCGCCGCGGAGAAGGAGGAGGCCAAGGCCATCGCGGCGCTCGAGGTGCGCTGCGAGGAGCTGCTGGAGCGGCAGCGGAAAGAGGAGGCGCGCGTCGTCGGCCTCCTCGGGTCGCCCGCGAAGGTCGAGACGCCGGCGGCGGCGCCGGCCGCGCCGCCGCCGCCGGACGACGACGACCGGTCCGTCGCCAGCCGCTCGCCCCTCGCGCTGCTCCGGCGCGCGCGGCCGGCGCCGCCGGACGACGACGACCGGTCCGTCGCCAGCCGCTCGCCCCTCGCGCTGCTCCGGCGCACTGCGGCCGCGGCCCGGGCCTTCGAGGGCACCGCGAAGAAGGCGCGCAAGCCCTTCGCGCTCGGGAAGGCGGCGCTGTTGCGGGCCGCGGCCGCGGACCGCAAGGCGGACGCGTCGCAGTGGACCACGACGGCGCACCGCCGCGCGGCCATCGACGCCCAGGGCCCCCTCGAGGAGGACCCCTTCCACATCGCCGACGTGCGCCGCAGGGCCGAGAGCGACGAGAAGAGGCGCGCGGCCGCCGTCGAGGAGCGGCGCGCGCACGAGCTCGCCGTCGCCAAGCACAAGTCGAAGATGAAGAAAGCGGCCAAGGCCAAGGCCGTCGCGCCCCAGCCCGAGGGCGCCAAGCTGAAGAAGACGCTCGGCGCCGGGGCCGCGTGGAAGAAGCTCGCCTTCGCGACGCACATCGTCGGCGCGGCCGCGGTTCGAGGACAAGGACAGCGACAGCGACGAGACGCGGAACACGCGCGCGTCGAAGGCGCGCGCGTCGGGCTCCGGCGGCGACGGCGCCGCGCCGTCGCCCCAGCCGTCGGCCGGCGACGCCGCGGCCGCGGCGCC